CAATTATAACATAGATCAGTAGCGCACTATGGGCCCTTTAACTCTATAATCTGGCACAACATTTTTTCCTATCAGTTTTCTCTAATTTATGCCAGCTAACACGTACTTAACAACAAAGGAATTTATATTACCTTTTTAAATTCCAGTTATTGACAAATAAATTGGTCAATGATTTTACATATATTTTAATGATGCACTATAAAACTTCTCTGGTGGAATCTCCTCTACCTATTGTTGTTGTGATGCCTGCAATGTTTCACAGTATTACGTTACATGAATCTATTTTTTATTTATTTACTTATGTCTGTTTTAATGCACAAAATTAGCTGATATTATTTCTCATCTCTATGGCAAAACAATAACATCTCGAGGGAGACAAGCAAATGTCAAACCCCCCACCGAAAAAGTTACATATTGCACCTTTCCAAAAACATTCATTTTGTTTCTTATGTACATTAACTTCTTGGGTTCCTCTTAAAGACTGTATAGTAGGAGATGTGTTTATCTAGCATATATATGACAAGTCACCACCAACACCGGTGACAGTTTTGAAGAAGCTTACAGCTTGCAGCCAAAACATGTCACAAAGGTAAATACATCTCCCACTATATTGTCTTAAAAAAGAATTCAAGAAGTTAATAATACATGGCACCTTTATAAGACATATTAAGTAGAACATAAGCTTTATTTGTATTCACCACAGTTGGTAAGCTAACAGTAAACAGGAGTCTTGTGTCAGTGCTCAGTGAGTGTCTGAGTTCTGTCCCAGCATAGCCCTGTCACTCAGTGTCCTCTGCAGATAAGACACTTCTTTCACACAGTATCGCCTGTGTGCGTTGGGTCTGCTGAATGAGGCTCTCTGGGGTGAATGTTTGGGCTGATAAAGGCGTGACACCTGCCTCTTCCACTGTCTGCTCACTGTCTGTGTGCTTTGTCTGTGTGCTGTATGTCTGTTATTGTTATTCTTTACTCCATGACTTTTGAAAGGAAGCCGCCACACAATGGGACCTCCTCGTCTCGTCTGCTCCATCACTGCAGCAGATTAACTCACTTCTAATTCTCATTTCACAGGAAATAACCTATTTACTCTCTCTACTCCATCGCTCCTCTCCCCTCTCTCCACACAGCACTGGCCCTGCACATGCTCCATGCTTCTGCTGTCTCCACACACATTATACATTATACAGTCAGAGATGCCGTCAGACAATCACTGGCTCATAGATAAACAGTGTACATTACCTCCAACCTATTAAGTCTGAATACAGCTCTGGTCCATGCTCCAGTGTGCCCCCTGCTGCCTGTTCGCTGCACCTGCCAGTGACAGGTGTGGGATTCAATTATAGCAGCATGCTCCCAGCAGTGGCTCCTGTGTGCAGCCTATGTCTGTGGACAGGGGCCCGGGGCCAGCTCAGCGCTCAGATCCATGTATTCACAAACAAAAGCAGACACCATCACTGGGCTCTTCAGTGCAGCTGCCAGGCTTTGGCAGGGCCTGTTTAGATCATCAAAGTCCTATATTAACCAGCACCAGGACACTGTCACATCAAACATAAAAACACTGTGGATCGCTCTGGACATCAGAATGAAAGGGCTAAATTTAGCCCAAAGCTGTCAGCTCTCACTTTTAATTGCGTCACCAGTCGATCACAAACTGCCCCCGGACACTAATGGGACGTATTTACTGTCATTTTCCTCAAAGTTGTGGCATTCACACCACTTTATGAGACTCATATTGACAAGTAACAGCTGACCTCTGCCAGCATAAGGGATTATGGAGATAAATAGTCAATTATTACTGTGACTTTTCCTGTCTGTGTGGCAGTAATTGCCCTACTAGAGTATAATAGCTACAGCCCGGCCTTTAATCCCTGATAAGGTAAGTTTCATTAGCCATCTGGCTAGTTTGTAGCATAAGGAAGTGTCTGTGACTTCACTATAGGCTCATTGTGATGGCACAGGGTTTCCATCTGCACCTAAACCAGAATTAATCTATTAATCCAACTATCACATATAATCCCAGATGGCTCTGACTCCTGCTAACCTGCTCTTGCCAGCCTAGGATAATGCCTAATCTTAAGACTTACGCCTAATGCATAATGCCTAATACCTCATTCATACTGCAGCCATAATAGCCTCTTGTAGTGTAGACTTTGCTCCCAGGGTTTAGCGGCTCAGACTTCCTGCTGTTACAATCACCCTTCACACTGAGAGAGGCCCTGAGGAGGAGAGGCTGTAAACAGGAGGCGTCCCAGAGCAGGGCGGTGTTAATGAAGCCCCTCTGGCCAGGTATGCAGGCCGTGGAGCTTGGATGTGTGTGTCCTGTACGACTGCTGGGGGCGCTGCTGAGCCCTATGACCCCTGGCCCACCCGTGGCTTTTGTCCTTACAATGAGGCATCCATGGGTAGGGCAAAGACAGCAGAAGCGAGGAGCACCGGAGGAGAGACGAGATTGGGATAAACTAGTATAGCAGCAATGTGGTGTTATTGTCATGATGAGCCCAAAAGAGAACACACTGATACCAATTTAATCCAGCGCTGCCAGGTTAGGTCTATAATGAACACAGTCAGATGGGTTTTTGGGAGGACATTGCGGGAGCCTCACTTGCAGACATCTCTGTTATTTTGGAGGTGTTATATTTCTGTTGCAGTGGATCATATCTTCTTTTCTAAAGATGCTGCCCTATATGAGCACCTAATTTTAGTACAGTGTTTAAGCTAAAATGAGGGCAAACACAGCAGCTTTACAATTGCTAGGGTTGTCTGCGCTAATGGAACAGCAGAAATGAGATCCCAAATTAGATAGGCATAAGGATTCATATAAATAGGCTTGCCCCATCCTGAGCAAATTTCTGTGTATTGCAAGCACTAGTGTATGCAGTAGTTAATTGTGGTACATTATCTTTTTGCACACCTAGCTCTATAATGTTATCTTTTTGTAATGGCTAACTACAGACATTGTTAGACATTGTTGTTGGTGTTCTTTATTTTACCTTGAGAGTGGAGTTATAGTCACCTGGATGTGGAGTGGCTCCACTGTTTACCCCATGCTGTTCATGTCTATATTCACTGTAGCATTGTACTTTAGAAGCAGTGTCCTAATTCTCTTGGTTGGAAGTTCAGTCTGCATTTAATTTGAAATACCACCTAGTATTGCAACACTGCACCTGTAGACTGAATTTATAAATGGACATAGCTAACCTTCTTGTTGCTGTGTTGCAAATAGGAAGTGAGCATGGGCACACTTGTGGTTCCATCAACTTTGGTTCCAACTGTCTTGTTTTTATTTCGCTATTTTGTCCATAAATAAATTCCTAATATGGAACTCGGCTCCAAATTCGCTTCTCTAAATGCTAGCTTCATTTGACTCTACTCAAACGCTTCTGGTGACCTCACACTCCCTCAGTCCACTTATTTACAGTATGTTTAGTTTAGAAAACAAGAAAGCTGCTTTTTCAGCAAAAGATCAGTAAAAATCCATTAAACAGGATTAAATGATAACTGATGATACATTTTTATGAGCATTTACCCTTGAAGGTCTGGCAGCAGTGTATCTTTTTGTTGCCAGATAGATCACTGCCTTCTATACAATTGGATATATGCACAGTTAATTAGATTTAGATAACATGAGCAATAATATAAAATTTTGTATAATTGTGATTGAGTCAGTGATTGAGTACTAAATATGCTGTGTGCATTTATGGCTATGGCCCCAGACACCACAGTATTAACAACTGTGACATGGACAGTATTACGCCATGACTTCTCCTTTCTCCAATTACTTTTAGCTTCTACACATTTTTACTTCACCCACATCCTGACTGCAGCAAAGCAAGTACCTCGGGCGCCTCTTGTTTCAAACATTTTGGTTCGACAATGGAGCATGACAAGCCTCCCCCCTGTGAGAACTCTGCCTTTTGAGTGTTTGTTTATGCCTCGCCTTGATTAGATTCCGCTTTGGCTCTAAGTCCCAATCCCTGTCGCACCCCCTCAGTCAGAACAGGCTAATTCCTAAGTGGCCCAGCAGCGCCACAGATCACCAAACACTATAAAAAACAGCACGGCAGCAGAAAGGAGAGCGCTGGATTCAAGTAACTACTCTATCTTGCTATTATGATTCACCTCCCGCACCAGACCTCATGTAATATTCAATAGAACTGGAGCCCAGACTGATGCATCGCTCTTAACAGTGACAGTGGATGTATATGCGTGTGCTTTGGGGCCAGTGTTTTCCAATGCCTCCTCCTGTCATCTGCAACCAAAAGCCCCCACTGTGTCCAATTAGTTCAGAGATGCATGCCATCATGAGGTGACCAGCAGGTAATGGTTGTGTCACGAGCCAAAACGAGACCACCATCTTAAAAACTTGGCCGATATGCAGATTTTTGATGTGTCCTTTGTTATGTTTTGTCCTCAGTGTCTTGTCTTCTTGTGTGTAGCGGATGAAGTGGAAGCTGGGCCAAACTTCAAATCTTTACCCCAGAACGCCTCTCTTCTTTGAGGCATTATTCTTGACGGAGAGCCAAATCCTAATAAAACAAGCCGCGCAATTACTGTTTTCCCACCCAGTAGAAGAGCGCAGGGAGAGAGAGGGAGGGCAGAGAACAGGCCTTTGAAACAGAAAATGCACAATCAAACAAAAGTAGGCCAAGATGAATTAGATTAGAGGCTACATCTAAAGCTTTGGTGGCAGCCTGAAATCTCTCATTTATCTTGTTCAAACCCTTCCCAAACACAACAGTGATGTTCTACAAATGAGCTTTTATAAGTTTGCTTATTTTTAATCTGATATAACGAACCAAAACTCACCCCCGTCTCTTACTATTCACCCTATTCTATACTCCACTTACTTTTATCTCCTTACATCTTCCATATTTAATTTACCCCCTGGTTTTTAGACTTTACTCATTTCATAATTTTATCCCTGCCATCTCCACCATCTCCTCTCCTCGTACAATGCTATCTTTTCATTTGCGTGCGTCTCTTCTCTCCTTCCTCTGCAGTTTTTGTTTGTCCCGGGACGTTGCTGCGGGTCCAGGCGGCCAGCTCGCAACAGGAGGCGGAGCATCAAGCAGGGGCGTGGTGCAAAGACCCTCTACAGTCCGGGGACCGCCTCTATGTCATGCCGTGGACCCCGTACCGCACTGATGTTTTGTATGAATACGCATCGTGGGAAGACTTCAAACAGACAAGAGCTACCACCACCTACAAGTGAGTGCGGCCCCTGTTGGCAGCAAACAGCAGCTGCTCCTGTATGGATTTATTGGTGTTAGACGGGGATATGGATGGTGGTGGTGGAACAACCCCCACTGTGGTGTCAGCAGGCTCACCGTGAGACCATCTTGTAGCAATGTGTCAAACAGAGTCGGAGGAGCGCTTTCATTGCAAAGCCTGTGCCTGCCGCGATAATTACTGTATCAACATAGTGTTCAAATGAATAAGAGATTAACTACATGTTTTATATATTACATTTTTAACCTATATGGAGGCTTACGTTATTTGCACCCGTGGGAAACGTTTTTTATTTATTGGTTTCAGAACATTTGAGTTGCAGAGTATCAAAGTATTAACATCTAGTGATAGAGATTTTTTTGCTTTGCATGGAATGTTCCATAGTATGACATAAAATAATTAGTGTGCATTTGTGCATTTTGTTCATTTTGTTTGTGTTGCATCAATTGCAGGTGGTTTCATTGCATAAAATATCTGAAAACACACATAACTTGGCTGTCTGGCATCACCTGCTTTTCTCTAGAGATTGATACATTTAATGCCATATTGTTGAAAATTCCAGGCAAAGCAAAAATATCTTCTTCAAGGAGACAAGCAGGTGGTGACTAACCTTGTGCAGCAAAATGAATTTTCTCAATATTTGTGAGCGTAGAACTCAATTCAGAGTGCTGCACATATCAGTCTGGTGTGAGCCAGGTGCGGTGGTGACCCCTCTACCAGAAAAGTTACATAATACACCTTTAACTAACTCTTTAATTTACCTGTTTATTCATAGCATCTCATTAGTTATTTACTATATTGTTAATTTAGAAAAGGGTTTATTGATATGTGATATTTGAGAGTTTGTTTTTGTGTCAGTCACATTATTTGTTACCATGAAATGCCAGCAACATGTGGTTCTCTTTGTGTGGCAGGCTGCCCAACAGAGTGGATGGCACTGGCTTTGTGGTATACGATGGAGCAGTGTTTTACAACAAAGAGAGGACGAGGAACATCGTAAAGTACGATCTACGGACGCGCATCAAGAGCGGAGAAGCCATCATCACCAATGCCAACTATCACGACACATCCCCGTACCGCTGGGGAGGGAAGTCTGACATTGACCTGGCCGTGGACGAGAACGGCCTGTGGGTCATCTACGCCACTGAGTCAAACAACGGCAGACTGGTGGTCAGCCAGGTGGGCCCCAGGATTAGACAAAGACATTATAAACATGACTCAGTCCAGTCCAGTCAGCAGGGGGCATATGGTACAGAATAAACAGCACAAATGAAGTCCAACCAAAGGAGGCATGATAACATAATCTGAGGTTAAGTCATGCCCAAATCCCATCAAATCCTAAAGTAATATTCCAAAATATTTGTGTTTTTTGAGAGAGCCAGGCTTTCAGATGGACTCAAACTGCATTTCTCTTTATAAATAATTTATGGAGCCTCCGGAACAGATTGTGAACACACCGTTCTGTTTGTCTATCTTAGCCAAAGTCACTTCTGAGAACCTTTTTGCCAAACTTTAAGTACGATCCATCACTGAACTCCTGTTGTTTTCTTTATTCCTCGACGTACATAACCTTCCCACATAAACCGTAAAAATTAATGTGTTGTTCCCATAAAAGGGCCATATTTATTATGTTTGACCTTAGAGCAAAACTGTTTTTCCAACCGCATAAGTTAAACTATCAATCTAACATATCAAATCCCCATAAGCTTTGCTAGTGTTGAATAATGGAAGAAGTGTGTAATAAATAAGAAGGTGATCACTTCCATCATCAAGGACTTGTTTGTTTTCCAGGGAATTTCATTAGTTTTCCTATAGCGTTCTCAGTGCGCTGCTGAATGGGACTTTCTATTATGCCTTGGTGTGCAACTTTATTAGAAAGCTGCAGAAACATATCACTTCTCCACAGCTGGGGGCTTAATTACTTTTTGATGCGATTACCAGCTCTTATATGTTCATCTTTACATTTTATATAGTCCATATGTTTCTGCGGGCTTATGAAACCTTTACATCATTGTGCCAACATAAAGTTTACAGCAAATTATGAAGTTTACTTGAACACAAACACTTTTTCCCATAGCTCTAGTAACAATTTGCTTTGCACAACTCTTATTTTATTCCTGCTCATTTGCATTTTAAGTCAGTAATCGTCAATGATCAGCTTGGGCAATTTTAATCGAGAAGTCCACTGCCAATTCTCTCAGTTAAAGCATGTAGTTTGGAGCAGAGTTCAATCTTTGGAGGAAGAAATTATACTATTTTGTCTTCAATGGTACAGATTAAAAGTGCATTGTTTATGTACAGGGAATTTATATTTAAAGCCATTTTTTATTTGTTTCTTATACGAAAAAATAAGACTGAACCAAATTGTAATTGATCAATTTGAGGGGAAAATATGATACTTTTTGTCTTATTTCCTCACCCAACTGTAGCGTAACTCCAGGCAAAAGCTCATGTAACGTAACACTGACATTTTAAAACTTCCACTTTGCCATTGTTCCTCTAACCCCTGTTATAACATTTCCAAATTGTGCTTTTCCAACAGGTCAATCCTTACACCTTACGTTTTGAGGGCACCTGGGAGACAAGCTTTGACAAGAGAATGGCGTCCAATGCGTTCATGGCGTGCGGAGTTCTTTACGCGGTGCGCTCTGTGTACCAGGACGACGACAGTGAGGCCGGTGGCGATCTCATTCTTTATGCCTACAACACCAACCGTAACCGCGAGGAGCCAGTTAGCATCCCCTTCCCAAACCCCTACCAGTACATCTCCTCTGTGGACTACAACCCGCGAGACAACCAGCTCTATGTGTGGAACAACTACAATGTGCTGAGATACCCCCTGGAGTTTGGACCCCCAGACCCCACCACGGGTAAGAACAATGGAGAGGGTTGGGGTTTCAGGGCAGTGCTAAATTCTGATGGTGAGAAAAACAGGTAGGAGCTCAGAGTGGAATTGCAATGTAGAACAGACCTGTCAAATTCAGGCCCCAGGGCCAAATTTGGCCTGCGATATAATTATATTTGGCCCGAGAGATCATATCAAATATGTATTAGTGCTGGCCTGCCAGCTGCAGATAGGTTATAGAAACATTATTTATTTAAAATTGTGTTATTATTTTATATTATGCTTGTTCTGGATTCAGTGTTTAAGCAAAACTATTATAAAAAAAATATTTTAATAAGAAAAGGTTTAACATTACATATCTCGAAAGAAGAGAAAACATGCAGATGTTGTTGAAATTTTTCAATAACTATTTAGTTTGACCCCTGGTCTAGAACATTTGATAACACAAAAGCACATTATTTTTTTATGTAGGAAAAATGCTAACTATGTAGTATATATCTATATGGCAAATATTGTACTGTACTTGGGTTGAGGGGTTTAGATGTGAGCTTCTGTCCTGGCTTGCTTGTTGAATGTTTTGAATTGTTTTTGAATTGTTTTGGGCGTCAGTAGCTCAGTTGGTAGAGCATTCGCCCACTGATTTGAAGGTTGGTGGTTCGAAACCAGCTCTTGACATAAACATCACAGGTTGAGCGGTCAGATCCACTGACCCACAGGTTGGTTGGTGTGATTCCAGCTCCCACAGATGAATGCTGCCGTTGTGTCCTTGGGCAAGACACTTAACCCACCTTGCCCACAGTGTCTGCGTACACTGGTGTGTGAATGTGTGTGTGTGTGAATGGGTGAGTGGTTCCTTGTTGTAAAGCGCTTTGAGTGCCTTTAGGGTGGAAAAGCGCTATAGAAAAATGTGACCATTTACCAATGTCTCTCTTTACTCTTCATCCCTATATTAAGATTACTGTCATGTCTAACAAAGTCTATAAGACTTTTCAAAAATACCAAAATATGTATTATCTGTACAGTTAAATTTTGTGTTTGTGTTTTTAAATTTGTTATTTTTCTATGTGATGGTGGAAATGTGTCTGACTATTTACTGTAATAAATACATTTCAAAATGATTTTATTTTATAGTTAAAATTGAAAAATGCACTGCGCAACTTTTCTGGTAGAAGGTCCACCACCTGCTTGTCTCCATGGAGATGTTATTGCTTTGCCTGGAACCATACCAACTTTATTTATAAAGCATTTTTAAACTTTACAGCTGGCCAAAGTGTTGCACATAAACACAGGATAGACAAGGGCACACAGCACAACACAATACAACTACTAAAACACAGAAAACAATGAGATTCTCAACAACAAGAAATGTACATGTCACTTGTTAAAAGCCAGTGGAAAAAGGTGCATTTTTAGGAGTGATTTAAAAACACGTACAGACTCGGCCTGTCTAATCTCTAATGGCAACTGGTTCCAGCAACAGCAACTAGGCAACAGAAAACGCACAGTCCCAGCGAAGCTTGTTGTTCCTTGGTACTTTAAACATTTTCATCTAGTATTCATTCATTATGAGTGTTTCTTGCTCAAAAATACAATGCAAATAAAATCCTTCTGTGAATGGCGGTGACTCTCCACAGATCTGAATTGTAATGTACCGTAGTGCTGTAACATGTTGTCTCTGTTGTGATAGATTTAATCTATACTGTGGAACATTCTAGACAAAGCAATAATATTTCCATGGAGACAAGCAGGTGGTGGACCCTCCTCTAGAAATGCTACACAGTGTACCTTTAAGTCACTCCAGCATTGGCAGTGTGCTTGATCTGTTGTTCCCAAGTGTTTTTGACAGGAAGGGCACCTGACTTGAACCCTTGTCATAACTGATGAGCTACTGACGGTTACTGTATGGGAGGAAAATAATTTGCTATTTATATTTCACAGATTTCTTACAAATGTTATTAATTGTATTTTACGCTGTCTAATCTGCAGTTAAAGTCTTCTTTCAATTGCCAGACCAGAAACTTCAAATCAACTTGTCTTTGTCATGTAGGCCAAAAAAGTCATTGTGAAATCAAAGATGAGGATGAAATGAGAATATTTCTGTGTAATTTGTCAGTCTATGAATAGGACAGAGGGTTCGCATGTACAGCAGTGTGTGAAAGGGTTAGAGAGAGAGTGTGAGGGGGAATGGAACCAGTGCGTTTGATCAGTAGGATTTTGTAGTTTGTGAAGTGCTCTTTTATCTCGGCATTAGGTTTCGGTTGTTACTGATGCTGACTTGTGTGATACATTTGATCAATTATTTACTCGGCTCTGACTTGTGATGATGCTTCTTCTTCTTCTCTTTTTTTTCCTTCCTCGTGTCTCCTCCTTCCTCTTGAGAACGGAGCTTTGAGGCGGCAGAAAGTGTTTGTCACCCCAATTATTGTCAGGGCTCACTTTTGAACTTGGACTTCTGAGAGATGCTTTAAATCCGTCTGTCCTTCCACTTCTTCTGCTCTCTTTTAGGATCTCTGCATCATTTTAACCCACTACAACAAATCCTTTACATCCACATATGATCCCCCTATGTCTTTGAAAATGTTATTTTCAGCGTCCCATCTATAACTTCTAGGGTCAGAAGTATCAAAACCCAGATAATAATCGATATAAAACTCTTATCGAAACTAGATGTTGAAAAATGAAATGAACTACTATAACAGTTATGTGCCAATGAAACGTTTATTTGAATTTCATTGTGACATTTGGGAGAAAACACCACAGTTCTAGATCTTCTGGACTGGGCTCCTTTTTCAGTTGGTGAAGTTGTTTTTCATCTCTCCCGACATCTGCACATCCACCTCAAGGGCTCCTTCAGTCTCTTCAGACTCCAGTGAGATTAATTTGGTCTTCTAATTATTTTATTCTAACATACTTTTTTCAGACCAAAGTTTAGTTTGTATACTAGTAGTTTACAAATTAACTACTACTATTAAATTTATTTTAGTAACAGTAGTTTGGCTAAAATCTAAAAGTCTGAAAGCCTGAAAGTTAAAGGCATCTGTCTACAAAATCATCTGTTAGAAAAGGTTTTGGTGATAGGACTATTGCCAAAATAATAAATTGTTCTATGTTTTCAACTGCGAAACATCCTCAAAATGGTGCTGGGCCTGGTAAGGTGGTGTCACGATGGTCTTTAGTTTTTAAACATGTGAGCCAGATATTCATTCTTCTTCTTTTTCTTTTTTTTCCTCAGGCTTCAGGGGCAGGTTCAAATATTTATCCAAAACAGCGTCAATATCACCATCGCTCTTGCTGAAACTGTGAGGAAGATTGGAAAATCCTTTGAAAATATGTCTCAGAAATGTGACATTCCTCAAATGTGCAGGAAGTTTAAAGTTATCCTTCCTCTTACCTATCACTGGTTCTTTGGTTTTGGGCATAACTTTTGTCTTTTTTGATGGTTTTGTGTCCGATGTTGGTGGCTGAGCCTTGGCTCTAACTGAAGATCTCTAAGGCTGGTTAGTTTGTGTTTTTCCAGTAAGATTGGACTTGACTTGTCTCTTCTTAGGTGGTGTTGTGTCCTCTGTAGGAAGAGTGCAGGAAGACTTCTCTTAGACATAATATTTAGTCTTTAGTGATTGTTTCTGGAGTCAATTTGAAGGTTTCTTAGTCTTTTTATGGGCCTGGACCTTCAGGTCTCCCTATTTAGTTTGAGACTCATCTGTTTCATGGTACGTCACCTTCACTGCAGCCACTTTTTAACTGACTGACTGACCAGCTTTGGTCGGGTTGGGCAGGTAATTTTGGGCAGGACTTTATCACAGTGGGAATTTATTCTTGTATTTATTTATTTCTAATTATGTCATTTTTGATCCTCAGTAATATTTGGCTTTTTCCTAGGTACTTAAATAGAATTTTAGTATTTTGACTAACTAACTTCCATGTTTTATGTTATCTCAGGTCCACTGACTACCACCCAAGTCACCACAACTCTGCCCGCCAGGCCCTTCTCCTCCAGTGCCAGCCCCTCCACAGCCCGCCCCATTGCTCCGACTTCTCGACCAATCGGATCCATCAACAAGCACCCCGACTTGCGGCCAATCACAGCCACCGTCCCGGTCACCCGCCGCCCCTCCCGTCCTCCGCAGGGGCCAGAAATGTACCTCTGCGAGCCCAAGATGGTGCGTGGTGTCCAGTGGCCTGCTACTGTGAGAGGGGAGACTGTGGATCGGCCATGCCCCAAAGGATCTCTAGGTCAGTGGATGTTTCTACTCAGAAATCATCTTGAAAACAGTTTTAGCAGTTATACTTGTTATGAGTTAAAAATGTTTTAAAATGTATAGATTGATTTCCTAAAATATTTATTACTCGTACTAATATTTGTTCTGCATATAAGAAGATGAGCAGTCTGGTTTTGACAGAAATGTTCAGGTATTTGCAAAATAGAATTAGAAAACATAACATTTGACAGTATATACAGCTTGTATTTGTTGCTTTGTTTTTTTCTTTTTTTATCCTTTAACATGATAATAATCTGGTTGTAAATGTCTTGTCAAATCCAGCAATTCCCTGCAGCCATAAACAAGCTGTCAATTGCCTACGCATAAGAAATATTTACTTGGTCAATGTGAATGACACTAAGTATTTTAAATTCTCATTCTAAAGACAGATGGAGTCCACAAAGGGATTCAAGCGGCCAGTAATTTATGTACATTTCGTTGACCCTGACCCTCTACGACCTCAGGGTGGGAACACTGCCGGTCAAATGTGTCAAACAGAAAACATTACAGTTTAACAACAACAACGCCATGCATACTCATTCACTTACAAGTCCGATATTATGGTCAAATTGTACTTTGTTTTTTTTAACCTTGTAATTATCTTCTCTTATTATAAACATACCAAAAATTCTCGATATTTCAGCTGCAATATCTGTCATTACAAAGCATCTACTGTATTTTAGTGCTATATTTTAAACAGTAATGCTGCTAATTCAACATGCGTCACTCTCTGCTGTGGTGAGTAAACAACAATCTACTAAAAACAGCTTATATCCATGAAAATGTCAGTCAAATGAAGCTCACGAGGCTAGCAGTTATGGGAGTGAATTTAAAGCCTGTTCAATAATAGGAATAGGAATTTATTTATGAACAAAACAGCAAAATAAAAACACTAGGATCATATAGAGCAGGTTAAAACAAACATTTTAAGACCAAAATGCGGAGGCTCGCTGCAGTGGTTACAGAGAGAGGGAACCGGAAGCTCCCCCATGCTCCTTTCCTATTTGGAACGTAGCGGCTAGTGTTCACATATTTATATAGCACTGTTCCACTTTCATGGCACTCACAGCACTTTAGTGGATTAGCTATGTCCATTTATATGTACAGTGTATGAGGCAAACAGGTGATGGACCATCTCTCAGAAAAAAAACACACCTTCATGTTGTTGTTATGACAACCAGTGTCCTGTCATACCGCTATATATCATAATTATCTCTTTATCTTAAACAAAACACAGATACAACATGTCTCTTATATGTTGCTGAATATGTCTTTTAATGTGTGTGTGCGGCGTGTGCAGTGTTTTCCACTGTTGCCATCCTGTGTCCCTGCCTTGCTCTCACCAGCCGGTACACTCCCCCATGGGACTTCTACATGAAAGGCTGTCCTCTATAAACACAAGGCTCTCCCACAGAAACAGAGCTGATTGAACGTAGTGAATAATAAAATGTAACACTACTACAAGCCTTTACTTTATCTCACCATTTATGTGCTGTTGTGAGCATGTGGCCATCAGAGAATTCTATGAAAGTAGCAGGAACATCACATTAACAACTGGGCTAATTACAGCATCCTGGCACAGCTTTAAACATTTTGTAAAGTTTATAGAGGAAGAAGAAGCTTTGTCTTAACACAGGCCAAAACTTTCATCCATTAGGCCTATTTCAGCAACATTAATGCAGCCATTAAAATTAAACTTGTTTGTAATGGCAGCTGTGGGCGCATTTTGTTCAAATCTGGAATGTGTTTCCATTAATCAAAGTTAAAATACTCAATTAGTATCTGTGGGGTTTTTTATGCTTCCTTGTTCTGAACTGTTCTGTGTTGCAGTTCAGGCAGAACAACAAAACTTCAATAGTGCCATTTATACCATATGTTTATGTATGTTTCTTTTGGTGTAGGTGACTGTCTGTCTGGGTGCCGCTATGGTGCCGCATTATACTTGTGGTTGCATTTTGATCTATTAAATTACAAGATATTGATTTATATAAGTAATGCAGGATTTCGTGTGAATTATGTGTTCTCTTTTGACATTTCTTGAGAAGGCCAAGAGTTTGGAGTGCTGTCGACAAAGCAAATAGAGGCTACTATAATATAACATATAAAATATGCAGCTGATTTTTTTTTTCTTGTTTCATATATCTGATATCTTCAATAAAGAAAGCAGTAAACTTAAAGAAAAAAAATCATTGAATGAGAAGGTGTGTATATGCTTTTTCCTGCTGTATTTCATTTCTTAATCCTCTTTGTGAAGATGAATCTCATTGCGTAAACATAAATGTTCAGGTATTTGCAAAATAGAATTCAATAACCATGCCATTTACCAGTATATCCAGTACAATACAATACCTTTGCATTGTATTTTCTTTTACCAAATTTAACATGATAATAATTTGATTGTAGATGTTTTGTTTGTCAATCCAGCAATTCCCTGCATCCATAAATGTCAATACATGAGATTTTTTTACTTGGTTAACTATTTTACATTACTTTATTATTATTATTATTATTAATTGTAACATTTTGTTAAATTACAAGTTATTGATTTGTATAAGTATTGCAGGAATTCATGTGAATCATGTTCCATCTCTTATGGAAACAGAGGAGTAATAAAGAGGTAGCTATATGTTTACAATAATACTGTATATGAGAAAATACACTTGGCTATTCAGTATATTTTTTTTTTACAAAAGAGAAAATGTTAATATATGCATTTAACTACAACTTTTTACTTAAATTTGAGGCCATTATGTTTTTTGTTGATACTACACACTATAGCAACACAAATGGGATATTGGTATTGGCTGAAAAAAATCCATATCTCTATTAAAATCATGTTTTTGTTTTAGATAATCATTCATTATTGTATCACCGTAAATGTAATTTTATTGTAAGTACATTTTATTTAAAAAAAACTCATGGCCACCTTTTACGGTTGTGCAGCTTCTCCCACTTCTTATTGATTTGCTTTACTCTTTTGACTCCTGGTCTTGTCTTACATATTACGGCCCCAATCACCTCTGAATAACTGTGCTCTTGAGAAAAAATGTGTTGAACTATAGAAGTATAAGCTCCTATTGACTAAAGTGGAGTGTTGCTGTCTGCTCTGCCTCTGATTCTCATATCTCCTCTCTCCTTTCCTTGTTGGTGTAAGTGGATGCCTGTTATTTGCGTTAGTGGCTGCATCAGACTCTTTTTTTCCTTTTTTTTTCTCCTTGTGTCCTCTGTGTGAACCCTGGAACTAAACAGAGGAGCCCCATGTGAGAGCGCGGGCTGGTAAAAGGTGCTTCCCTTCTGCTGTGTTGTTATTCGGCAGTGGGGAATCGGAGCTGATGGTAATGTCTTTGGAGTGTGTGTGTGCGTGTGTGTGAAAACCATAGCGGCTCCTCTCCCTCTCCTCTCCCGCTCCCTCCGTCTCACACTCTTTTACTTAACCTTTCCCATTTCCGACCCATTTTTCTGGCTTCCTCCCTCCGTTCTTCTCACATCAAAAACACTTTGCATTTTTAAAACTCCATTTTGCTCAAGTGTAAAAATCACACCTACTTCCTACTCTTCGTACCACACGTCCCACCTTAATTGCAGGCACCTAAAATCCGCAGCTGAAAATTTGGACTCAAAACTCAATTTGTTTGTGAAAGCCATTTACTGTGTAACATATAATCACATAGGCTGAGAAAATATATTGTATAGCTGTATTTTGAATAGTGTTAACATGCAAAAATTGTTATAATTATATGTATTGTTTTGTTGTCCTTACAAATTGTATCCTGTCTTTCATTTGCTGTACTTAAAGATCCACTATGTAATTTATCTGGTGGAGAGTACACTGCACCTGCTTGTTTCCATGGAGATCTTAGTCACGGGTCAGATCCGGAGAGAGAACATCTTTAATGAAAAAAAAAAAAAAAAAAAAGATGAATATGGAACATTTCGAACAAAGCATAACACCTCCATGGAGACAAGCGAGTGACCCAGAAAGTTACACAGTGCATCTTTAAATCTGATTTTCTGAAGTTCATTTAACCAGTATAATTTAATATGTGTAATTCTAATTCAGGTTATTTTCTGTTTAATAATAATGAATGTTTTATCCTCATGTCTTATGGGATTGTGTGAACTCTTTGTAACTATGAAAAGTGGTATATATACTTAAATAGATTCAGTCATTAGAATAAAACAAGAAAGTAAGAAACACACAAAAAAGATGAATAAAAAACTTATAATTTTTGATTATAGTTTGCAAATATATTCTTCCTTTTTATTCTTGAATTCCACAGTAATATAATAATTTTATGCATCACTCACCAGTCTTTTTCTCCTCTGTGTCTCCGTAGGCATTGCTTCTTACCAATGTTTGGCCGACCAAGTCATCTGGAACCCACGAGGCCCTGACCTGAGCAACTGCACCTCTCCATGGGTCAACCAGGTGTCCCAGAAGGTGAGACCCGCTCCCCTCTCCAGAACACATTAGCATATCTCCAAGGCTAACCTCATTTACATGCATTTCAACTGGTCCTTCATTACCGCTCTACTCTTAGTACTTAATTAACTCCCCTTTTCACTAATATTCTTGAATTACCGCAAATTATTTTTTTTTTACAATCGCCGCACTTCAATGCCGTATGACTTTAAATGACTGACATCGATCCACAATATGAATCACTAAAGCGTGTGATTACATATTCTGTATTGAACACATCTCCGCTCATTTTCGCCAGTAATTAGATTTCCCTAAAAAATCATGAAGAAAACTAAGGCTCAATTTATACCAGAGAATACATGATTATTTAGTCATGCATAGCTTTGAAGAGATTTTTTTGACTGGAAGGCTAACATCCGTGCTCGAATCCATTATACGTTCCCCTTTTGGCTAAAATCAATTGCAATTGCGTTGAGGTTGCTAAAGGTGTAATTTGCAAATGAAAAAGCACTAGAGGGAATGAGAAAACTTCACAATGTGTTCTACATAGGCTGACTTATTTACAATTATGTGTAAAGGACGGGTAGTAAAGGGAAGCTAAAAGAGGCTGTGACTATGGATTGATTATTGCATTTCAAAGTAGTTATACGTTATTTAGAGCCTACACAAAATGATGAAATGAGAGTGGTGAAGTTATATGGGAGAAATAAATCATTTTAAACAGTTTTAAAATGTGTCCTCAGCATTTGACCCATCCTGTAAGGGGTAGTGGGTTACTGTAGTGCCAAGGACCCATCTCTGGATTTAGAGCTAGGTTTGGTTTGAACATTTTAGGAATTGAATATTTCCTTTCAGGGTAGTTATACATTATTTAGAGTCAACACAAAATAATGAGATGAGAATGCAGAGGTTAAATGGGAGGAATAAGGAATACACTTTTAAAATATGTACTATGCATTTGACCATAGACTGTATATATAAATGGTCATAGCTAAAGTGCGCCCCCGTGTTCCAAATAGGAAGTGCGCCAGAGGGCTCTTCCAGCTCCTTCTGACCCTGGCACCAATTGACTTACACTGGAATATTTTGGCCTCTCTCTCTGTAACTGCTGCTGTGAGCCTTGTCATTTGGTCTTAAAATGTTCGTATTAAGCCGCTCTGCATGATCTTGTTTTTGTTTTTTTTCTATTGTCCGTCAAAAAAGTCCTATTCAGAATATAGAGCCTGACTCCAAATTCACCCTGTAACCATTTGCATCTCGAGCTTCATTTGAGTAGGGCTGAATACTATGGGTGACATCACACTTGCTTAATTCACTTTTTTTATACAGTCTGTGCATTTGACCCATCCTTAAATGCCACTGGGATCATCTGTCAGGAGCAGTGGGTGGCCACAGTGCCCAATACCCATCTCCAGATCTGGAGCCACATTTGGTCTGGACATTACATCTGATAAAATTGACAATTTGGAGGGGGCAGCTGATGTTGGATGTTTTGAAGAATTAGTGGAGGCCATTTTGGGACGATTTGGACAGAAGTACCAATTTATGACCATTGAAGTGGATAATATGTCTTCAGTGTGGCACCAGTGGAACGTCTCGTCTTTGAAGTTGCTGAGCAAAAACAGGAAAGCATGAGAAAAATCTATGATAGATAAGACTACTCAATCTTCTCTAAAACTAGAGCTATCAAAAATTGGTGAAACATGTAGTTTGTTTCAACGGATAACTTCCACTCTGTCAGTGGGATTTTCAGAAAGTGCTGTTATAAAATAGGGGTGTGCAAAAATAAAGAAATATTGATATATCGTGATACTTAATTTGGTGATCCAGTATCGTTATCATGAGCTGCTGTATTTTTTGTATCTTTTTGCTTTTTTTTTTGTGAGCGCACTACAATTCTGTTGCTTATTTAATGTAAGGAAACTTGTATATCATGTGTAATATATTAATTATCACCAGATAGTGATAATATTGTATCATTAGGCCATGTATTGTGTATCAAATCGTGAGGGACCCAGTGATTCCCAGCCCTAATATAAAGACTCTAATGTTACCAAAACAACAGAAAGAAAAGAGTAGATTTATGTATAAGATAAGTATATCCATTGCTTCTTATTCATTACACACATTGATTGCATATTGAGCATAGATATTTAGAGAAGAATACAAATTCTGAATCTGTCATTTTATTGTTTATTGTTTTTATGTAGATAAAAAGTGGTGAGAATGCAGCCAACATCGCAGGAGAGCTGGTGAACCACACACGGAGCAGGATCCAGGCCGGAGACGTTAGCTCCACCGTGCGCCTCATTGAGCAACTCCTGGACATTTTAGATGCTCAGCTCCAAGCCCTGAGACCTGGCAACAAAGACCTGGCAACACGCAACTACAACAAGGTTAGACAAGCTACTGAAATATTAAAAGAGACATATTATGCAATGTTTATGAGCTTTTAGCTATGTTAGAATGTTTTTTTTTTCTTTTTCGTACAGTTGGTTTACTCAAAGATGGATTTTGTGTAATTCATTCGTGCTTGCATCATTTTTATTTTCAGGATATTTGAGGCATCAGTGCAAAAAAGAAAATCTGTTCTCACCTACAAAGATAGACTGTACAAAAAAGTGGTCTATGGGAGGGTGACGTCACCCATAGCGTTCGGCTTCAGTCAAATTAAGCTCAAGAGGCTAGCAGCAGCTAGGAACAAATTTGGAGCCAGTTCCATATTAAGAATATTAATTTATTTATGAACAAAATAGTGAAATAAAAACATCAGAGCGGGTTAATATGGACATATTGAGACCAAAATGACGAGGCTTACAGCAGCAGTTCCAGGAGACGGTTACTTTTTAAAAGTAGACCAGAGTCAGCGGAGCCAGAAGTGCCCCATGGTCACTTCCTATTTGACACATTTCATCTAGCGAATTAGTTATGTCCATTTATATATACCGTCGATGCCTATAACCTTTGTCTGCCCATTGCTCTGTACTTACTTTGGATTCAGACAAAAAGAAAATCTGTCAATACATATGTCAGTGCACATATCCACACACATGTTAAAAAAAACAATAAAATAACATTAGATAACATGTAAATAATGTAAATAACATTCCACTGCTTGCTGTGGAGAAATGTTACTATGAGGAGGCAGAGCAGAGCACAGTTTCTGCAGTTTTGAGCAGGCAATTAATGGACCCATATCTATCATTAAGTCATTTTAGATTAATGTTGCCGTTTACAATGAACAAAATGTGAAATAATGATCTACATATGCAAGAGTTCATCAGTAATACCAGAGTGTAATGTCTTCTTTAAAGGACCCATATTTAGCTATTTTCTGATCTATGTTACAATGTTCTATATGTTTTATATATAATGTAAACCAATAATAAAGGGTTATGCAAACATGTGAATGAAACAAAAATCAACTCTGGGTATATTTTGGTGAAATATCAATATCAGTACATGGCTAAAAGCTCACGAGTCAATTTTGTGGACCTTTGCAGACCATTAAAGTTAAATTATTTGTTTGTTGTCCTGAATTTTAATCTGACTTTCTATCTTGTTCTTCTTTTCAGCTCCAAAAGCGTGAGAGGACATGCCGGGCTTACATCCAGGTACCTTTTCTCTGTACTTACTGATGTAGTATGGGACAGCAGCGTGACTGGGAATAACCAAGAGCAGATAAATCCTGGACTAGACTAGTGGAATACTGTGTATGAGATTTCCGTGGCTCGTTGCTGCGTTTTATGATTTATACTGCCTTTGGAATCATCACTTACAAGATTTCTGGTTTGCGCTGAAGAGTAGTTGCTTGTGTTTGGCTATTGCTCCTCACAGACAGGATTAAAATGAGGCTGTAGTGTCCCAAAGCAGATGTGGAGTTTTTTCTCTGCGTTTAGGAGACATATATGTATCTGGAGTTAATGTGCAAACAATTTGTCAGTGTCTTTTTTTTTTGTTTTTCCAACAGCCCTAGAAGCAGTAGTAGTAGTATCTCAGGCAGTTTAAATTACTGTCAATAAATGCATTAAGTTTATTTTTTACTCAGTACTCAAGTATAAGGATTGAGATTTATTTGTCCTAATATTCAAGAACAGCACGAGAGTAAAAAACTTGATAAACAAAATAGATTTAATCTAATAATTTAAAGGTGCACTGTGTAAGCTTTCTGGTGGAGAGTCTGCCATCATCTTGTCTCCATGGTGATGTTAAATCTTTGACTGGGATGTTCCACAGTATGGTGTTAGACAAATACATATCTTGTAATTATTCAATTGGTGTTTGTTTTTTTTTGTTTTTTTTGCAAAACTATAATAAAAGCATGCATTATTACTGTGATCTGGCACACCTCTCCACAGATCTGACCTGTAACTCGTAAGAATATAACAATATCAAAATTAGGGGTGTCAAATTATCGCGTTAATTGCGATTAATTAATTACAGTCATATTTAGCGCGTTATGTTTTTTAATCGCGTTAATCTCATTTTTAATCTCTAACTTTAGTGTTTCTGTATGCGAGTTGCTTTATTATAAAACCTGTTTTTATGTGTTGTTGGGACAACAACACACACACACACACAAACAAAAAACACATTTATACATTTTTTTAATTTCGGCAATTCCACTCATTGTCGGAAACCCGCACAAAACACGCGCAGTAAGAGCGACGTTTACGGCGTCAGTCGCACAATGGACGAGGTCGAAGAGCCAGTAGAACAGAGGCAGCAGCGCACAGGTAAAAACGCATTCGTGTCTTGGAAATTATTCTCCCGACGTGAAATATAAAAGAAAATAACAAATATAATATCGCCTACAACTTAAATGTCACTGGTGAAAACAACCTGCATAGGCTCATGATGTCTGCACTACTGTCCTATAGTGACCTGCCACATGAGGCGACACACACACAAACACACACACACACAAACAAACACACACACACACACAAACAAACACACACAAACACAAACAAACACACACCTTCATCATCGTCATTAACCTGAGAACGCGTGGACCACGTTTCCTTCCGTAGACACTGCGCGGACACCGACGTGCTCCCGTGAGCCGCGTGTGGATCGTGTTTTCTCGCGTACGCTGCGTAAACCGCGCTTCCTCCTGTGCGCCTCTAAACCAGAACTAACACCAAGACTAAAACCAGGACTAATTCAGTCCAGGACTAAACCAGGACTAAACCAGGTCTAAACCAGGACTAAACCAGGACTAAACCAGAACTAAAACCAGGACTAAACCAGAACTAACACCAGGACTAAAACCAGGATTAATCCATTCCAGGACTAAACTAGGACTAAAGTAGGACTAAAGCAGGTCTAAACCAGGACTAAAACCAGGACTAAAACCAGTGATCTCATATATAAAGCATTTCTCTATCAATAATATTTTTAATATGGTTAAGGAAAGACTGGACTTTTTATTGTCTTTAAGTAGACAAAAGTTATTATGTTCAGATTTCCTCGTCTTTGCTACTTTACAACAAACAGTTTCTTATTCATGGAGACTTGGGCTCAACAGCCAATTTGGAGAGATTTGTTAAACAATAAATGACTTTATAAAGTCACTTTTTTAAATCTATATCAGTATTTTGATCTGCCACAATAATGTAATAATGAATTTAAATGAAAATACCTCAAATTGAAGGCTTTTCTCAGCAATTTTTAGGTGAGATTAAAATGAGATTAATTAGATTAATTAATTACAGATCATAATTAATTAATCTCTCAATTTTTTTTATCGCATGACAGCACTAATCAAAATCCCTCAATATGATATTCTTCGATCTGTATGTTACGGTTCGATATTTATTGCAATCATTTGTGGAGGCAAACAAAACTGTGAATATGTTACTTTCCCTTCTAAAAACGTCTCAGAAAACGTCTCAGAAAAGCCCTGAAAAAACCTTTGGTAGGGTTACAATATGAAGAATTACTGACAATACCAAAGGATCATGGTCTATGTAGTTCCCTCTTTTTTTTAGATGTTACTGCACCATAACAAGGGAAGACATTATTTGTATAGCACGATTCACACACAAAGTAATTCAAAGGGCTTTACAGAATACAAAATCACATTAAAATCACAAAGAAAGGCATCAAAATCACCATAGTTATTAATTTAAGTGAAGGTTCTTGTAATTCGATACATTGCGATGGTCCACAATATTATTGAGATCCTTCTGATGATACAATATCCCGATATTTTGGTTATTGTTACATCCCTAGTAGAGCTGGGTATCATTAAGAAGCTGCCGATACAATACATACCTTGATACATAGGACACGATACCATACATATCTCAATACAGTGTACTTTCAGTTTGATACGATATATTTCAAACGATTCAATATGGTCCCATAAAAAAATAAAGGTTAAATAAGGTTGTGATACTAAAAGTACTTTGTTAAACCACTTCTTGTGCAAAGTTAATATGAAACACACCCATTTTAATAATCAAAAAACATGAATATGTCAAATCAATCAATCAAACTTTATAAAGCACTTTTCATACACAAATGTAACACAAAGTGCTTTACAGTGATTAAAAACAATCCCACATTTCACAAATGTGTCGCATAAATGAGTTTCCGTCTTCTAAATAAACAACAAAAATTTAGAGCTGTAACAAAATAATTTTGTAAAATACACCAAAAAATACTCTTGGCTATATATCGATACAGCAGCTCACAATATAGTATTATATATAAAAAAAAAAAAAAAAAAAGTGTTTCTCACCTTCCACGGTGGTAGGTCTCTCTCACCCTCATTGAGCTCGGGTCCTCTACCAGAGGCCTGGGAGCTTGAGAGTTCTGCGCAGTATCTTTGCTGTTCCCAGTACTGCACTTTTCTGGACTGAGATGTCCGTTGTTTTTCCCGGTATCTGTTGTAGCCACTCTTCCAGTTTGGGGGTTACAGCCCCGAGTGCTCCGATCACCACAGGCGCCTTTACTTTCCAGGCTCTCTCCAGCTCTTCCTTGAGCCCCTGGTATTTCTCTAGCTTCTCGTGTTCCTTTTTCCTGATATTACCATCGCTTGGTATTGCGATGTCAACCACCACGGCTCTGCTCTGTTTCTTATCCACCACCACTATGTCTGGTTGGTTCGCCATCACCATTCTGTCAGTCTGTATCTGGAAGTCCCACAGGATCTTGGCTCGGTCATTCTCCACAACCTTTGGAGGTGTTTCCCACCTTGATCCTGGGGTTTCCAGCCCGTACTCTGCACAGATGTTTCTGTACACTATGCCCGCCACTTGGTTATGTCGCTCCATGTATGCTTTCCCTGCCAGCATCTTACACCCCGCAGTTATGTGCTGGACTGTCTCAGGAGCCTCTTTGCACAGTCTACACCGTGGGTCTTGTCTGGTGTGGTAGATCTGGGCCTCTATTGCTCGAGTGCCCAGGGCCTGCTCCTGAGCAGCCAGGATCAGTGCCTCTGTGCTGTCCTTCAGACCAGCCCTCTCAAGCCATTGGTAGGATTTCTTGATATCAGCCACTTCAGTTATGTTCCGGTGGTACGCCCCATGTAGGGGTTTGTCCTGCCATGATGGTCCCTCCAGCACCTCTTCCTCTGGACCCCACTGTCTGAGACATTCTCTGAGCACCTCATCTGCCGGGGCCTTGTCCTTGATGTACTCAAGGAGCTTGGATGTTTCATCCTGGACAGTGGTTCCCACACTCACTAGTCCTCGGCCCCCTTCCTTCCGGCCTGCGTACAGTCTCAGGGTGCTGGATTTGGGATGGAACCCTCCATGCATGGTCAGGAGCTTTCGTGTCTTAACATCTGTGGTCTGTATCTCCTCCTTTGGCCAGCTTACAATCCCTGCAGGGTATCTGATCACTGGCAGGGCGTAGCTGTTGATTGCCTGCACCTTGTTCTTGCCATTGAGCTGGCTTCTAAGGACTTGCCTCACTCTTTGCAGGTATTTGGCCGTAGCCGCTTTCCTTGTTGCCTCTTCGAGGTTGCCACTTGCTTGTGGGATACCAAGGTACTTGTAACTGTCCTCAACGTCTGCTATTGTTCCCTCCTGGGAGTGACACCCCCTCTGTGTGGACTACCTTCCCTCTCTTTGTCACCATCCTGCTACATTTCTCAAGCCCGAATGACATCCCAATGTCTGTACTGTAGATCCTTGTGGTGTGGATCAGTGAGTCGATGTCTCGCTCACTCTTAGCGTACAGCTTGATGTCATCCATGTAGAGGAGGTGACTGATGGTGGCCCCGTTTCTGAGTCGGTATCCATAGCCAGTGCGGTCGATTATTTGGCTGAGAGGGTTCAGGCCTATGCAGAACAGTAGTGGGGACAGTGAGTCTCCTTGGTATATGCCACATTTGATGGACACATGTGCAAGTGGCTTCCCCTTGGCTTCAAGGGTGGTTTTCCACAACCGCATCGAGTTCGCAATGAACGCCCTTAGAGTCCTGTTGATATTGTACAGCTTCAAGCACTCAGTGATCCATGTGTGTGGCATTGAGTCATAGGCTTTCTTGTAATCAATCCAGGCAGTGCACAGGTTGGTCTTACGGGTTCTGCAGTCGCGGGCGACTGTTCGGTCAACCAGGAGTTGGTGTTTGGCTCCCCTGGTGTTTTTTGCCGATACC